ATGTGGCATTACAATTGTGGTTTTTTTGTTTTTGTTTTTGTTTTTGTTTTGCTGAGCATAAGTAAGTTTACCTTTATGAAAAATACTTCCTACATTGTTTATGGGGTTTTTTGTTTGTTTGTTTGTTTGCTTCCATTTTTCCATAGAGCTGTGGGATCTTTGCTATGAGCCAGCAGAAATTTGTAGCAGGCTTTTAGAAATTTCTGATGGGCACATAATTGTGTTGACTGTGCTGGGCACATAGCTGTTAAATTAATTTTCAGTATTTGCGAAAGCAATAATTATGTATTAAGTAATTATTGTGTATATACCACTGTGCTAAACTTAATACCAAACATGAAAGTTTTTGTCTGTTTTGATTTCATATGGCCCAAGGAATGTACCCATTCAACAAATGTGAAGAAATTGAAAAAAGAGGTGAAAAAGAAAGAAAAGTGTTTTAAAACAAACCAAATTAGCTTAAGACAATAGAATAAATACCCCAAAGTGATATGATGTTGTTGTTAAATGAGTCGACACTAGTTGCTGAATTTAAAAAAGGAATCTCATTCAAAGGAAGCCAAAAAGATGTAGCAGAAAATTGTAACTACCTACTCAGTATATGGAGACCTGGTGTGACTCTGTATGATAAGGACTAGACAGTTAACCGCAAGGTTGGCAGTTCAAACTTACCAGCTGCTTCTTGAAAACCTACTCAGGGTCTCTACGTGTTAGAACCAGCTCGATGACACTTCACAACAACAGCTTCATATGTTGGCGTGGTGCTAAAGGATAAGCACTGGACGGGTAACCTCAAGGTCTTCAGTTCAAACCCAATGGCTGCTCCTTAGAAACCCTATACAGGGTTGCTTTAAGTTGGAATCAATTTGGCGACACAACAACAACCAGCCAGTATCCACTGTCCCCTTCAGTGAGAACAGGACCAGGTCTGTTGAGAATGGCAAGTATCCAACTAAAAATAACATTTCCAGCGTGCCTTGAAGCCAGGGGGACTTTGTGAGGTACAGTCAGACTTAAAATGGGGCCTTGACCCCTCTAGCACTTGTCCTTTGTCCTTCCCCTCCTTTTCTGGTCTGGAAGGCAGATGCAGTGCTGGGTGTGACCTTAGCCACGTTGTGACCATGATACAACTTAGAGAAAAGAACCAGAACACTTCTCTTCTGAGGTTCTTGGTGTGTCTGCCTCTAGCTGCTGCACCTATGACCGGACCTTCTCATGATGTGAGAAACATAAAACATAGAATGTATACAATCCCTGTTAACTGCAGCTGAGATGAACCCCTAGTTCAGAGGCAAAGGAGGAGATGGACTTGAGATCCATCAAGGATCTAGTTTGAAACTAGTAGTTGAGTTGTTGTTGCTGTTGTTAAGTGCCATCAAGTCAATTCTGACCCATAATGACCCTGTATAGGGTTTCCGAGAGCACTTGGTGAGCTTGAACTGCCAACCTTGCAGTTCAAACAGCTTTGCAGTCTGGTGCATTAATCCACAGTGCCACACCAGGACTCCATTGGTTGAGTTGTTGTTGTTGTGAAGTGCTGTCGAGTTGGTTCCAACCCATAGTGACCCCTTACAGGGTTTCCGAGGAGCAGCTGGTGAGCTTGAGCTGCCGACCTTGCAGTTCAAACAGCTTTGCAGTCTGGTGCGTTAACCCACAGCACCACACCAGGACTCCAGTAGTTGTGTAGAGTGTCCCAAATAAAGCATGAGAGTTGGAAAGGGCCAGGTTGTGTTCACAGGTGTGTACTCTGGCCCCCTAAGATGGTAAAAGAGGCCCTGTGTGAAGGCTCAGAGGCAGGCACACCTTACACACTGCCTACCCTCTGTGGTTCTCCGTTCTCTCATCCAAAGCCTCGGAGTCGATTCTAAGTGCTGTTGAGTAAGTTCTGACTCATAGCGACTGGAGAGTTTGAGATGCCGACCTTGCAGTCCTGTGCATATCCTACAGTGCCAACCCAGAAATAGACTAGATGTTTCTAAAGTCTTTTCAAATTCAAAAGTTCTATGGTTCTAATTAATCCCATTGGGCTGAGGATGGATAGATTCAAATGAAAAATTGTCTAGGTCTTGCCCCTCTGTAAATTACAACACAACCCCTAAGTTAGAGAATGCAGTAAGTTGAGAAGAGAGTAAATGTGTCTCTTTTAGTCACTACATAGCCATGTTTTACAGATTGATTCCTTTGTTTCCAACTGAAAGACTGTAAGACTGAGCAGTGTGAAGCCCCAGGCACTCTAGATCATCTTTTCAGAGATTGGTGCTGGTACCAGTTAAGTCATAAGCATCCTGTTGATCAACAAAGACAGAAATCAAAAGGTTTGACTTGAAAATCCTCTTGAACTTACATTGCTTATATGTTTGGGTTAGAATAAGTTGTTGGTAACAGATGTGGAATTTGGACGTTTGCGTGCTATATGCTCACTAGGAGGGAAAAAAAAAATTGTACCCTTACAGTTGTTGCTAAGTGCCATCGAGTTGATTCCATTCCATTCCAAACAGGTTTTGAAGGAGTGGGTGGCGAGTTTGAGCTCGTGGTCCAAACTGGTCTTGTGGTCCCATGCTTACTCTACAGTGCCACATAACCCTTACTGCTGGCACTGGTGGTGGTTATGTGCTAGGGAGTCAGTTCCAACTTATAGCAACCCTGTATAGGGTTTCCGAGGCTGTAAACCTTTCCAGGAACTGAAAGCCTCATCTTTCTCCTGCAGAACAACTGGTAGTTTTGAACCTGCTGAAACGAACATCTTCCCTCCAGGCATTTAGCTCGGTTCACTCCAACCACTGCATTCCTCCCTGTGTCTCCCGCCACCCCCACCTTTCCTCTGCCAGCCTCCCTCCATTGTACATTGTCTGCCCGTCACCCATGTCAATGTGTGTCTACCCTCTAGCACGTGTATGAAGAAACCACACAGGGATATATAACTGTTTAAACAACCACAGGTTGTTAAAAAACAGGTTCTTAAAGTGTCCTGTGACTGAGAAAAGATTAAGAACCAGGAATTCACAGCTTACACTCACAGACTCTTGGCTTTACAATGCCCTTTAGTTCCCTCAACCACTACTTGAAACCATTCTTGCAATGTAGCTAGTGGCCTTCCTAAAATATGGATCTGATACGCTTACTCCTTTCCTTGTCTCTGATGTTGTTTACTGCCGTCTAGTCAGGTCCAACTTACAATGACCTCGTATAGGGTTTCCAAGGAGCGACTGGTGGGTTTGAACTGCCCACCTTGCAGTTCAAACCGACCTTGCGGTCCAGCGTCACACCAGGACTCCTGTCTCTCTGGTGGTGGTGGTAGTTATGTGCTGTGGAGTCCGTCTGACACATAGCGACCCAGTTTCTGAGGAGTGCATTATCCTGCAGTGCCTCACCAGGTTGATACGTTACTCTCTATTGCTCCTCAAATAGACACTAAACCCCGTAACACAGTTAACAGGACCCTGTCTGCTTTTCCTTCCTCTCATTCCCGGGTCCTTTTGGACTTCCTCCAGTGCTGATCTCACACCCTGTGACAGTCTCCCACCTCTAACTCCTACACATCCTTCAGGTGGTCAGTTTGAACATCATTTCCCCTGGAGGCATGCAAGACTGCCCTTCCTCTCCCTAAGTGAGATTTAACATCGTGTCCTGGCATTCCATACTGCCACCCTGAACTTTCCTGCCGAACATCCCTCCCACTCCACAAGGACTGTGTTTGCCAAGTGCACACGTCCAGTGATCTGTTGCTCCTACTGGTAAGGGAAGGAGCCAGGTCTTGCTTGCTTATACTTCATGTGCATTTTGAGTTCTCTATATTTTAATTCATTGTATATTGCTCATTTCTCCGCTTCGCTCAATGGAGAAAGTGTTGAGTGTTCCATCCATGGCTTTACCATCTACCAACTATGACTGGACGTTTAGATTATTATGGTTGAACATTTTTGCCGAACTATATTATCTATAATTACATTATAGATAATGTAATTGAGTACATCTTTGCACATAGATCATTTTGTAAAGTTTAAACTGTTTCCTTAAAATTGTTTCAAATGTCTTCCTGAGTCAAGACATATGAAAGTGTTAAAGGTGTTTAGTAGCCCCATATGATCAGTACTGGACTACACACCACACTGTGTGTGATTTGAGCCCAGCAGCTACTCCGTGGGAGAAAGATGAGGCTTTTTGCTCCCGTGATGACTTAAAGCCTTGAAAACCCTATACAGGTTTGTTATGAGTCAGAACCGATTTGACGGCACTTAACAACAACAACAGTTTTGTGGCTGTTAGGTGTGGCCAAGTTGGGCCCCAACTCATGCTCAGCAGAATTAAGAGCCGCCCGGTCCACACTCAGTTGTTGATAGGATCACTGTGATCCTAGGTTTCTCATTGGTTGATTTGTTTGGAAGTAGATTGTTAATCCTTTCTTCCTTGTATGTTATACCTGGAAACTGCTGAAACCTGTTTACCCTGGTATTTGAGATATCAGTAGCATAACTTCCCATATCATAACAACACATAATCCACCATGGTATGACAAACTGACACGTGAATGGTGGTGTATATTGTGAAGTGAAGTGCCGTCGAGTCGGTTCCGACCCATAGCGACCCTGTACAGGGTTTCCAAGGGTGTAAATCTTTACGGGAGTAGAAAGCCTCATCTTTCTCCAACTTACAACGACCTCGTGTAGGGTTTCCAAAAGCCCGTGGAAAAATGAAAAAGTAATGAATTTTCCCAAGGTTTCTGAAACCTTGTATACTTATTTATGTCTAATTACTATATAATTAAAATCCTTTCGAATATGCTGTAAAATATTACACCCTCACTTTTCTCTTCTAAGAATGCGGCTAAACAAACTGCAAACCAGAGCTAATTTGTAGTTTTAATGTTCAAAACCTTTTTTTCAGTTCAAAAGAAAAAAAAAAAAAAAAATCAAGGTTTCTGTCTTAGAAATATGCTGTAAAGAAAACCATCCAGAAATAAAATTACTAGATTATGGTATGTTTTGTTTTTGTGATTTCAGGTAAGGCGTTGACATTTCTTCTGCTTCAGCCCCCGAGCCCCAAGCTCCCTCCACACAGCACAATCCGAAGGACAGCCATTGATCTGATTGGACGTGGCTTCACAGTTTGGGAGCCTTACATGGATGTGTCAGCTGTTCTGATGGGCCTTCTCGAACTGTGTGCAGATGCTGAGAAACAGCTTGCCAAGTGGGTGCTCACTTCCAGTCAGCTTAATTTGTTGATGGTTTGGAGGGGCAGGATAACAGTGGTTAAGTGTTTATGAGTCATGTGTATTTAACAGGCAAAAATGTTGTTCTTGTTAAGTGTCATCGAGTCAGTTTCGACTCATAGCAACCCTGTATAGGGTTTCTGAAGAGTGGCTGGTGAGCTTGAACCACCGACCTTGCAGTTGAAAGACCTTGCAGTCCAGTGCATTAACCCACAGCACCACACCAGGACGTACACTTAGCTGGACCATAGTCCTCAGTGGTCTACCAGTTAAATAATGATGCAGTTTGGAATTATGTGATAATGCCATCATCCCCATCTTCACATAACACTGACTTTCGCACAACAGCCTAGTCTCGCGAACCTAATCACATCTATAAATGAGGAGTGGTGCATTTCCATTGTGAAATTTTAAAATCTAAAGCAGTAGTGTTTAAACAAAACTATCGAGATGGAGGAAAAATGGACTGCTGAGCAACTAAAATATCACATAGGTGTTTTCTTAGTAAATTTATCAAAAGAAATTCCCTAAATACTAAAAAGAAGAAGACAAGGGCAAACATCGCCATGTAAGCAATACTGCTACAAGGCATAGCAGCATATGACAAAATTATTTTACACTTATTCTCCAGAATTTTATCTTGATGTAGTTGTGCACTCTTTCAGGGGATGCTTCTGGTTTCCTAAATCCATTTTTCTGGTACATTAAATGTGCGCATTTCTCCAGAGCTATCCTACTCAAAACAAAGCAAGAGGTTACTAAACGTTTCCAAGTTTCTAACCAGTGACTTAACTATTATGAGTAACTTACCCATTAGGTGATAAATTTCTTGAGAGCACCACCCAGTATAAGCCAAGTACAAGGTCCTCAGACATTTGGTGACTAAATGATACAGTCATGCATGTTCACACACTGAAAACCTTGCTTTTAAGGATGCTGAATTGGAAGGAGGGCTGAGCTAGAGAAAGGGAGAAGAGTTACTAGGAGAGTGCCCTGCCCTACTGTGCCAGTCTATCCCTTGGGGGTCTTCTCTGGTGCACCAACCCTCCCTTTTACCAAGTATGAGGTCCTCCAGAGACTGGTCCCTCCTTACAGCATGTTCAAAGTCCACAAAACTAAGTTTCATCATCCTTGTGTCTTAGGAGCATCCAGGTTGTACTTCTTCCAAGACAAGATTGATTTGTTTTCCTGGCAGCCCCTAGTACTTTCATTATTCTTTGCTAGCACCATAAATCCAGGGCATCAGATCTTCTTCAGTCTTCCTGATGCCATGTCCAGCTTTCACATGACTTGAAGTGACTGAAAATACCAAGTCTTGGGTCAGACACACCTTAGTCCTCAAAGTGACTTCTTTGCTCTTTGCCATTTTAAAGAGGTCTTTTGCAACAGATTTTCCTGGTGCAGTAGGTCCTTTGATTTCTTGACTGCTTCTTCTGTGGGCTTTGATTGTGGCTCCAAGTCAAATGAAATCCTTGACACCTTAGGAATATACTTAGGACCTAGTAAGAGATTAACGGATGTTCCCCATATGATGGAGTCCTGGTGTGGAGCTGTAGGATAAGCACTGGGCTGTTAACCACAAGGTCAGTGGTTCAGACTCACCAGCTGCTCCTTGGAAACCCTCTACAGAGTCACTATGAGTCTGAATCAACTTGAAGATACTTAACGGGAACAAACACAGGCCATATGGTGGGAACATTTGGCATAGTGGTAGCATCATGGCTTTTGGCTATAGGAGACCAGGAAGTTCCCCACTGACTCTAAAGATTCAGAGGGAATGGGAGCCCCACTGAGCCCCACTGAGTTGGTACTTCGTAGTAAAGGACAGCTGGCCCCTGAACACAGCTGTCATGTTTTCACTTCTGCTGCAGCTGCCCTGCACACCCTCCAAGGAGACCCCCAGCCTCCTTGGTTTATCTGCTGATGCCAGAACATTTTTTGATTGCCCCAAATTGTACCCTGGCTTAATTTTATCACGTTTTTATATCTGACTTGCACACAATTTTCACAATATGCACTCAGTTTTACTGTTTCCTGGGAGAAGTGGTGGGTTTTAATTTTAGCTTTAGTCTTTTGTGTTTTGTTTTGAAATCCCTTTTAAAGACACTTAGATTAGCAAAGAGACCTTTATGTCTTATCTGCATGCGGTATGTCCACAGACACAAACACTGTCATCTTCTAGTCGGTCACTTAAATCTAGCAATCGCATCCTTTTCTGTCACGAAGATTAGTATGACTGTCTGTACAGAGCTCTGAATAAATGAATGTATCAGCATGTAGCCTTGAGGAGTCCAATGTAATTTTCATCATGATAAATTGCATAATAAGCAAGAAAATGTTTGCTTATTAATCTATAACAAGATTTAGATGGAAAATGGCCTGTTCCCTCCATGGCACATGTGGTACCGAGGCGGTGGGGATGGGAGCAGCGGTGTGGCAGGGGGCTAAGTGTGCATCTTAGCCTCCCGATGCCCTGCTGCCCGGCTCCTTCTCCAGCCTGATTGACTGTGTACACATCAACAGTGTGCAGCTGCTCTGCTTCTCCCGGGGATGCTAAGCTTGTTCACCAAGAAGCTTTTATGTTATGTTTGTGCTACTAAGAATCTTAGTTCTCCTTCACTGGAAAAGGAAAACAACATGGGCTGTGTTTTCTTCTTGATCCCCATTCCTTTAAGGTGTGAGGAGAGATGGCCAGCTCTGAGCTGCTGCCAACATTGGAAAGATAGATTTTATAACTGAAGGTGATTCTTCCTCTCTCTCGTCTGCTAAGATTGCTAAAAAAAAAAAAACACCAAAACCCCCAAACCCACTGCTGTTGAGTTCATTCCGACTCACAGGGACGCTGTAGGACAGAACAGAATTGCTCCCTAGGGGTCCCAGGACTTTGACCCTGGTGTGGCGCTGTAGGATAAGCACTTGACCACGAGGTCAGTTTAAACTGCAAGGTCAGTGGTTCAAATCCACCAGACACTCCCTGGAAACCCTATACAGAGTCTCTATGAGTTAGGACTAACTTGACAGCAGTTAACAACAACAACAACACCTTTATGGGAACACTACTTTTATTTCGTCCCCAGAATGGCCTTTTTTTTTTTAAAAAAAAAAAAAAAAGCAGCTCAATGATTAACCCTCGGTGCTGCCAGGGCTCCTAGACTGCTTTTTTTTGGTTTTTTTTTTTTGTTAAGTGCCGTCAAGTCGGTTCCGACCCATAACGACCCTGTACGGGGTTTCCGAGGGTGTAAATCTTTACGGGAATAGAAAGCCTCATCTTTCTCCCGCGGAGCGGCTGGTAGTTTCGAACTGCTGACATTACGGTTCTCAGCCTGATTCGTAACCACTACGCTACCTAGACTGCTAGTGTCCTAAAACAGTATGTAGGTTTAATCTCAAGATTAAATAGTACTTATCTAGAATTCATTACGCCTTTTGATTTTAGAAATAGGACTTAACAGTTTTACATCTTTGGAATTGAAATACTGCTAGTTGTTTAGTAAAATCATTTTCAGTAAGTATTTTATGCATCATAGAACTGAAAAGCCTTCTTGAAATATCTGTAAGCTCTGTGAGTGTGTGAATCATGTATTATCATACATGGCAAGTAATTTTCAGGCTGTAAATGTTTCATATAAATGATCAGAAAGTTTTACAGATGAAAGTCTCCATCAAGAGTATTTCATCCAGTATTTTTAATATCCTTGTGAGTAAAATAAGGTTTAGAGAGAGCACCCAGCTTTTCCAAGGTCACATTAGTTCTCTGAAATTATGACAGCTAAGGCCCTGACCCCCGTTATACTGCCCCCATGTTGTGACTGTTTTATGTATCGTCGAGTCTGAGCTGACACATGCCCTATCAATACAGAACAAAACACTACTGAGCCCCACGCCCTCCTCACACCTGTTGGCGTGTTTGAGGCCACTGTTGCCGCCACTGTGGCAGTCTATCTCATTGAGGGTCTTCCTTTTTTGCTGACCTTCCACTTTACCAAACATGATGTCCTTCTGATCACATGTCCAAAGCACATGAAGTAAAGGCTAGTCACCTTTGCTTCTAAGGAGCATTCTGGCTGTACTTCTAAGACACATTTGTTTGTTCTGGCATTTCAGGATACTTTAAATACTCTTTGTCACCACCATGATTCAAACACATCAGTTCTTCTTTGGCCTTCCGTATTTACTGTCCAGATTTCACATGCATATGAGAAAACTGAAAATATCATAGATGCTGTTTAACACTTTAAATAGGTCTTTGCAGCAGATTTTCCGAATGCCATATGTCATTTGATTTTTGGACTGCTATTGAGTTGATTTGCTTGTGGATCCAAGTAAGATGAAATCCTCGACAGTTTCAGTGTTTTCTCCATTTATCATGATGTTTATTGATCCCATTGTTTTTGTTTTGTTTTGTTTTGTTTTGGGCCATGTGACAAGTGATTCACAGGTGGACTCGTAGGTGAGAAAATATTTTAATGAATTATTGTGGGCTTCTGGTTCACAATGAGCTGTTTAATAGACAGTCGAGGCTTTACTTCACTGAGGTCTTAGATTGGGCCATCCTAAACTTATTGTGTAGGAAAAAACAAAACAAGACATGTGTTGCATTTTTTTTTCATAAGATCCATCATTTTAGTAGATCAGCATAATTTTGTCCATATTAATAAAACATGAGAAACAGTAGAAAATCATACTTTATAAAGGAGCAGAAGAATCCTCCTACTCTTAGATTAGAATTGTGTCTCTCTTTGCTTGAATGTGGTTTTGATCGAATTTGACTAGTTCACGTTGCTGGGTCTTTGCTGCAGAAGGTGACTCATTGCTCACCATGAACTGTAGCTTCTCTGAAATCGTCACAGCTTACCAAATGAGAATGTAGCTACTGGAAACTTAACCCTGTCCTGGTAATGCACAAATAAGTGCCTCCCACCCAAAAGGCTCTTACGGAATTATTTAGAGCTGGGGAAAGAGTTGATCTTTTCACTCA